GTACGGTACAGCAGTAAAACTGCAAATAGGTTACATTTTGGAAATATATGGCTAATGATATAGCAAGTAGAGAAAGAAATGACTAAGTAACTAATATATCATTAACTGTGATGTTTCCAAGTTTCATACTGCTATCCTTAATTTGTGTATGTATATATTTAAATTAGCAAGAAACAATTTGAGCTGCAAGAAAGTGAACCACTTTATACTACTTTTGAACAGTTGCCAATTCTCCCCCCCCCCCAATTATTTTTACTTATTCTATTTAACAAGAAAAAGAGAAAATGTCAAATTTGAATCTTTCCCTCACACTACTGCAGACACTGAACAGGAATTGTGGGGGAAAGATGAAATAGCAATTAAGGAGGCTATACAAGTAAAAAAGAATTAGAGTGCATTAACAGTATGGACTGAATAGCCAAAAGCCAGTTTTCTGTAATGTTTAGTCACTTACTGGATTATTGTATCCCTAAGTAGACAAGGAGGCAGGCCCTTTGTATCAGTGAAAGAGTTAATTTCATTAGGGTAGGTTACTCTGCCGTTCCACATCTCACATTTTGAAAGCCCAACACACAGTTTATGCTTTTATGCATGCAGAAGTACTAGGTTTGGGATATTTCTAATCATTGAACTACCTGGTCAGTCAATGAAATGCAAATTGTTCATATCTAGGCCACTGATAACTCAAAGTAAAATGACCACAAGCTACTATAGTCAGGGAGAAAATGAGTGGAAATGTTCCTTTTTCCTCCTAACAGTAGCTCTCTGATTTTTATTTTAGCTGATGCCAGAATTTTGGTGAAGTTCTCGAGTAGAGGGTGATTTCTTTGTACTTATTTAATGACAATGTGGCAATGTGAATACCTGTGCAAAGGGATCTCCTCTCATTTTTTCCCCAGAAAGAGAAGTCTGTGAGATAACTTGGGCTGAGAGACTGGGGACTTGAACTGTGGTCTTCCTTATCCCAGTCCAATTCTTGTTCCATTTTACTTACACTGGCAAAAGCATGTGGAAGACTCATCTGTAGCACATGATAACCTTAAAATTGTGAGCCAGACATTTTTATAATTACAATAGGGCAGGAATGAGCAAGCTGCAGCCCTGGGACTAATTTCAAAAGGTGATTACAAACAATTCATATTTCGGGGGGGGGGGGAACACAAAGCAGATCCTTTTCTGCACAGAGAATGGCTATTCCCACCCACTTTGGCTCTACCCTCCCCCACTCCTTGCTTCAGACCACCTCTGCAGTTAAACCCACTGGAATCAATATAATTAATTTAATTAGGAGTAACAAGACCCACTCATATCACTCGCTGTAGTCTAAGGGTAAGTCCAACTGTGTCACTGGGCTCCTTCATCAGACTAAGCCCTAATGTAATTTGTTTAAACTTAGTGTGCTGTGAAAACCCAGCCAATTGTGGTTTATTCAGTAAGATATAGTTTAAACCAATAATTGACAGTGTGTATCTTCTACACTGAATTTCTTGGGAATATGTTTACATAAAGCCCACTCTGCAGGAATAATGTGTGGTGTTTTAATTAGCACAAGGACTAGCTACTGAATAATCTCTGCAACTAAATCATGGGGAGAAGTGTTATTATTATTGGATGTTCTTGTGGCTGGCAAAGCTCTACATAGCAAAATTCCCTTAGAAATAGAATGAAGCAGTTGCTCTGGACTTAGTATGAATGAAAGTGCACCTTGCTTAGGGATAAATGTGAAACAAAGATGTTTAGAATATCTGTATGAGTGCTGCTTATCCATAATGTTTCTTGAACCTATTTATGTTTACACATTGTCCCTTAACAAGGGCTTACATGACCCATCTGTACACATGTAGGGTGGCCATATACAAAGAGGAAATGCATCCTCAAAAGAAGAGGGCAATGGATGACACTTGCATGGACTAAGGGATGCATATATTTAGAAATAATTCCTTTAATTAATATAGTAGGGAAGATGGACTGCATAACCTGTTCAAATGCATTATAGGTCCGTGGTACATGTAAAACTCTTGACTTTGCTTTCTTATGGTTTTCAACTGGACTTTGACAGACAACCCTTCAAACAAATAATTGTTCTTTGTAAATTAGGCAATATGGCTTCCTGAATTTGAGAATCAAGTGCTGAGTCTTTTCCATTGCAATGAACACCATGTTGAGAATATGTAAGTATGAAAGGCAGATTGTTTGGTCCTTATTCACTTGATTGGATTAGTTACCTGTTTTCATAGCCCTGATACGTTTTTCACAGGTAACAAGCAACTCTCCCCGCAACTGATGAAAAACCAAAGAGCATCAGAGATGCCAGACTGATAATCCAAGCAGGGCCTTTGTACTGAAGAGATAGTTTCATCAACTTCTTTTAGCAATTTCTCAAATGACAAGTCTGCGTTAGCATATTAACAGATTTCATGACTTTTTTCCATTCAGAAAACTGGACCTGGCCACTCTCGAAGGTAATGTTTTTGTTACAGTAAGTATAATTCAGAGAAGCCAAGCTCTACCTTTTATCTTAGCAAATAAAAGCAATGAAACTTGTATTTATCAAGTGCAATAATTTATTTCATGAGAGTTTGAAACACTTGCCTTCTTTTTTTCATTACTGCAGTCAAAGATCGAAAGTATACGAAGACCAATTTACAAAACTGGTAAAATTGGTAAAACGATGAGCCACAATAAAAATATTAATACTGAGCAGTCATGTTTAGATATGTTGTATAGAATATGGATTCTACAAACAATATTTAGAGACATTTAATGAAATTATATTAACTTTATCTGACAGATATTGAAGTTAGAATTAATCTGAATGCCCTAGAAATTTAACTATTAACAGGGATATATATCATACACAGACATCCTTATAAAAAATTACAACGTAAGAAAAAATGAGCTGTGGTTTCCACAGGGCCTATCCCACACCAACAAAGCCAATCTTCATATGAGATTTTCTTATAACTTCTTTCCAAGATAACTCCTAGTACCATATTAAAGCATGCTAAGGACATAGCTCCCCTACATTTTGAAATTTCAGTTTGACTTACATATCTAGCAGCACTGGAACAGGCTGACCAATAGAATACATCCCTCTTGGCAAACTAGTTTGTGCTTCTTGCCTCTGTATATCTAAGGTACTCCGCTGGACAGGACTGTATTTATGTGCATTCTTCTTACTTACTGTAGAGAGTAGGGAAGATGACCTTAACAGAGGTATACAGGAACCATTACCTAGGCAAAAGGGGCTAAAGCATTTTTTAAGTCCAGAACAAGAAGTTAACATTTGGAAGCTGCTCAGGCAGATGCTTCCTAAATTCACTGAAGTATAAAAAGGAGGTGGAGGCATAGCACAATCAGGCTTGCAAGATTCTGTTATTATCACCAATCTCAATAAAAGTAGCATTAGTCTTCTTGTGGAGCTAGTTTCCTGATCTGGTCTCCCTAGTAGGGCTGTTACATATAGACAATTACCCTCCTTTAGATGCTTGGCCTTCTGGCTTACTTTGGATACTACCCTCCCTCATGTATTTAAACTGGGTGAGTACAAAAAATCTATCTGTTAATCTTGAAATAGGTTCTTTCTCATGTCATGTACAATTGAGCAAACACTTGCAAGCAATGATCAAACCTACTATAATGTGGATTGCTCAAATAGACCTCAACCAACCAATGAAGAGAGAGGGTTAGTTGGCCACTTCCAATCCTTAATGGATAATCCCCCTTCCACACTTTTGTCCCTGCTGGCCAGTTAAAAATTAAGCAGACTTACTTTGACAAGATCATCTGTACACACTGAGAACCAATGTGATGTAGTGGTTAAGGTGTTGGAATAGGAGTGGGGAGACCCAAATTCTAGTCCACCCTCAGCCAAATAAGGTTACTTGGTAGGCTTGGCCAGTTACTGCTTCTCAGCCCAGCATACCTCACAGGATTGCTGTTGTGGGAAACACAGGAGGAGGAAGCACTATATACAGTATGCTGCCTTGAACTCCTATTTCAAAAGATGGGGTATAAATCAAATAAATAAATACACTTTCCCCCATTGGCATTGTATCCTTAAGTATCAGTAAGTCTTCCTTGGAAGCCTTTTTAACAGTGTCAGAATTGTTTACAAGAAACTTCATTGGTGTCAGAGCCAATTACTCTAGGGATCAAACAATCTATATCTCACTTGTTACAGCATGATGGGGTAAGGAATGTTTCTTGGTTTACAATCAAATATATTTAAAAATGAATGAATTATAAAGCACTGAGAATCCTTGGCAGATCTGGCACTGCACCAATATAATCAATAAATAACAGCCCAGTAATAGTTCAGCTGCAGAATGTCTATTCCTTAACAAAGAATAAAGTAATTACAATGAATAAAGGTAGTCATCAGAGAAGGAAGGAGGAAGTTGGTGGGGAGAAGAGAAAAAGGAGGGTACCCTCTGTATAACTGCTGGAAATCACATTCCTCCCACCTTGGAGGGTTCCTCTTCCTGCCTTTATCAGGGAAGTGTCAAATCTGACACCTTTGTAGTAAAGTACAGAAGTGCAAGTTTTTGAAAACCTGGTAGCACCTAATCAGGGGGTATAAACTTTCTGTAAACCTAATTTGTGGATTAAAATATCTCTAACATTTCTGAAATGCTTATCATTTTAATTATAAATTAGCTAGTAGAAAAAAAAGGATAAAATGGTCCACAGCCTATTTTTCTGAAAAACAGAATAACTTAGCATACTTACCTCCTACTTTATTTCCAGTTCCCTAACTAGTAAATAGTAGAATTCCACTTTATGTCTTTACTGTATAACTCATAACAATAAATCCTTTTAAAAAATCCACTGACATTCTCCTAAATTCTGAAATCAAACCTCCCTTCAATTTAAAGCACAACTAATTCCGTGTGTGTGTGACCAGTAAAATTTATTACCCTGAGCAGAGTGGGGGAACTGCAACACTTGCTGCAACCCCCTTTCTGTATAATGGGGAGGAGAATCACCAGCACAGTGGCTGGATAAGCTGGTTGACTTACTGTAAAGTGAGGCTGTAAATCCTGTTCCTACCCTTTTAATAGGCTTTAACAACCTATTTGCTTTAAAATTGCTATTGCTTCTTCACTTCTAAGAGCCTTGAGAGCCTCCAAATATGTATCTTGGTTACCATCCTGTATTTCAGACTGTCCCTCTTGAGCCCCACCCTCCTGGACATCTCTTATTTCCAGTTAGAAAGTTTTTCCACTGACTGATTCTACCTTGCATATACAACAGCATAGCATGTTACAGACACAACATACCTGATTCACAAGTATTACTATTGATGCCCCTTGGAGCCACTCCGCCCATGACAGGAGCTGAGGAGGTAAGTTCCTGGAGTTTACTATTGGCTTATTTTGATGCCTTCCTCATAGAAAAAAATGCTTTTACACATGAAATACGTTAGAGAAAAATTGAACCTCTTTTTCCCCTGCATGGAAAATAATTTGATAATAGAGGTCTGACACCTCTCCTATATACCCATAATACACAATATGTCAGGGACAGGATTTTACCATAATCTGCTGCACCTCCCTCAGCTTTCTAAATTAGAAGAAATGGTCAGTTTATCTATTATTAGAGGTTCTGGAACTCCAGTGAAGCAGATAAAGTATACATGTGAACTGGATTTTTTTTATTTGGCCCTGCCTTTTTTTCACTGTACCTCCGTAAAAACAAATATACTTCCGTGAGGATGGCTAAATTTTAAATAATTTAATATCCAAGAGTAAAATAGCCCCCCCAAAATATTCAGTTCTGTTGTGGCCAAATTGCCATGTATGTTTTCCCACCTCTGGCTGCAGCCTCCTGTGTAGCTACGCTTCCTTTCCAAGAGAGATGGAGGAAAGACCAGTCCAAAAGGAAAACATGCAGCAGGGTGGGAAGAATTGAAATCCTCTTGTACGAAGACTGAATTGAGTCTGTTCATGTTTGTACCAAAGTTATTTCAACACATTGTACTATGTATTGCTTATTTCACAAATATTTACAAGCCTAACTACTTATTTAGTGTACATACTCCACTGTACACTATGCCAATGCCAATTTTTCTGAACCACCCCATTTCAAAAGCCTGATGATATTCACTTACCTTATCTATATCTTTATTTAGGTAAGAAGTGTCATCCTGACATGTCCCTCACCTGCCCATTCAAAAGTACTAAGAAGATCACAAAGTATACAGTAATAACATTTCAGTCTTGAATGTTTTCAGACCTAAAATCTTTAAGACACAAAGTTCCTTTTTCACAGACACACACCAGATTTCTAACTTAATGGACACAGGATCTAGGAGGAAGCTGCAAGTTTAGTCTTCATGGGTGGAATAATTTTAAGAAGCCACAATCACCAGACACATTCAAGTAACTTAGTTTATTTGAAAAGAGCAGTTCTAAATTTATGTATCAGGTCATCCCAATGCTTTCATAAATGAATGCAGTTCACAATCTGCAAAGTGTAGCTGAAGAAAGACCCAAGTTAAATGCACCTGAACTATTCCAGAAACTCCCCAAATTATCCTCTTTCAGAATAGTTTGATCATGTAAAAACATGTGATTATGTACCACTGTTACTTTCTTCATTCCAGATGGAAACACCTTTTATTACAAAGTTAATTCCTTATTAATATTTAGATTCTGAGAAGAATTCTAATTGATCTGTCTGCATGCATATCAAAATATTGTCAGGATTATTTCTAAAATCTCAGGTTGGACAACATCCCTTCCCTCTCAAAACTGTAGTAGAACATGCACTGTCAAAAACAATCTAAATAAATTGCAGTTTGTTGTGTTGATCTTTTAGTGGTTCATCATGGCTAAAACAATGTCATTTTTTGGATGGAAAATGGGACTCTACAGCTCCTTACTACAGTACATTCTTCTGGTCTACAGTACAGAGGAAGAAATTAAATGTCTAAAACCTTTTGTTCTTTATTTCAGTGCTTTTAAATGCAAACAACCCTAACAGTGGAGGCAAAGTATGTTTGACTTCAATGGAACTTAGTCATACCATTGTGAATACAGGCTAGTTCCCTTACTCCATATACTCTCATAATCAATAGATATATGGTGTTATTTCCACTCAGTACTATTGCTTGGTTTACACAACAAAGCTTTCCTCTGTCTACCTTAGAAGCAGAAAGGGCTTTCTGGGGAAGCTTATTCTGTCTTGGGGGATAAAGGGGGAGAGAGAGAATCATAGGTCAACAGTAGGTGAGAAATTAGCACTTGGAGAGAAACAACTCTGGGGCTTTCAATTAAGACCATTCACATCAGATGGCCTAAAAGGTAGTTTACAAAGCACACATTCCAATCAATTTTGT